AAGTAATAGTAAATAATGAAAAAATTAATCAAAGTTGAGGAAAAGGTAGGCCAATTTATAATAAATTCTGGAAATTTTTTAATTTGAGAATGATGTGTCAGTAAATGACTATGATACCGTTGAATCTGTAGACTGGGGCTGGAATAAGTCATTACTCACGTTTATCTCGACATTTCTACATTTCCTTAAAGTTTTGTCTTGCATTTTGCAACTCCTTGTTTTTATTATTATTTGCATGGTCATAGTACAAACGCTTTGTTGTGTTTTTTTCGGTGGAAGTATGAGAAGGAAGACTTAGGGCTGTAGCTGTAAGTTACCTTGTGTAGTTGTAGTTGATTGGACTGGGAAACAGGAAAGTCAGGGAATTTAGAAAACCACTGTCAGTGCCAACCTTGTTGATGCCATGTAAACCTCATTAGGCTTCGTCCGTAACCTGAAACCGAACATATCAGTAGTGTTGATATTGAATATCATCTTTTATTATCTTGCAGTTGCATAATATAATTCATGAGGTGAGTCCTGGTGTTCTATCAGAGCTTCATCATCTACTCGTCAAGATGCGAGGATGTAAGGGAGAGGATTGCACGCATTACCATGGTAAGAAGCACCCTACAGTACCGCCAACAAGTCCAGCGGTCAACACCCACTTGAGAGAAGGTATGGAAGAGAGTCACATGACTCCTTTACCAACAGCGCCATCAAACCTGCAAACATCTGCTCGAAGTGCAGTGAGCCCTTTGACTTCGGAGTCACCCTCTCTAGTCCTTGTTACGCGTTCGGACGTTACAGCAAGCTCTCCGCAGAGTGTTTGGAACAACGTTTCGAAACCAACCACTATTGAAAAGTTTACAACACTTCCACCAAAAGATGTAAATGTAAATTTATTAGAACATTCGACCATTCAGTCGACATTGAACTCAGAACGAAAACAACAGCTCATGGAAAGCTTAAAAACCGAACATTCAATTGCTCAAGCTAGTGAAATGGCGCCTTTACCTACAGTTGACTTTAAGACTAAGAGCAAGCCAGACGAAACAACAGACTTGGAGTCCAACTCCTGTTTGAATTGTTCCAGGTCCGACGAACTACCGAAAATGTTCGTGAGAACTTCGGAACTCAACACAAGTTTATCGGGATTGAACGTTTCTTCAGTCCCAACCACATCAGCATCAGCGACTCCAAAAAGCAAAGAGGAAACTAGTGGAATGCATTTCAATATTTCTACACCAAAACCAGCGAAGGGAAAATCGCCCAAGAGACGCAAAAATGGAGATCGAGAGGGGAGAAAAAAAGATAAATATGCTTCAAAAGGCAAACCAAAGAATAAAAGTCTTAAGAAGTCCAGAAAGTTTAAAAAGAAATCTTCAAACGGAGAAAGAACGTCACTGTTAGAAGAAAAGAAAGAGAGCCCAGAGAATCCTACAAAGCAGACAGTTGTCTTAAACACCACGATATGGTCTCCGGAATCTCCTTTAGACAATAACAGCGAAAAGTCTGACCACGAGAAACCATCTCAACCAACTGCAACACCCTCACTTGGCTCCAATCATGTACCCACAGTCTTAATGAAGTCTTCGGGTCCTGACACAAGCTCTTCCAAACTAAATGGTTCTTTAATTGCAGCAACATCAGCCTCTATCACCACATCAAGAGAAAGGATGACTGAGAAAAAATGTGCGACAGACAACAGCAGTCAAACCATCGAAGAGAAAGTCCGCAGAGAGAAGGAAGAACAGTAGCTCGATTGATAGGAACAAAAAAAATTTCTAAAAAAACTAAGAAAGATGAAGAAATTATCGGAGAGAGAAAATTCTCAAACTTCAGAAGAAATTAAGCCGACCATAGAGGCAGGAGAAGTAAACCAAACTGGATTGAAATCAAAATCGACAAACAGAAGACCTGAATCAGAGAACAAAGACAGCAAGAGGGGCAATAAAGCATTACCGGAAGTTTCACGAAAACGGAGCAAAAAGCCAACAAACAACCGACCGGCGAATCGGAACTTCAAGAAAAAGTCTAAAGGAAAACATTCCAAGCAAAGACCGACTCAAATTAGCCAGGAGGGAGGGGTGGTAGAAAATGGCACCGGTTTCTCTTCGAATTCGGAATCTTCGCCCTCTGACCCTAGAAAAGAAAATAACTAATTTTTTCTCTTCATTGCTGGTTGGCTCAGTTCAGATGTGTAGAAACCACTCCTTAAACTTGTCAAAATTTGAAAATGCTTGGCGATTTACATACCCCCATCAATCGAGGGCTGTAGAGAAGTCATTGTAAAGTCAAAACCTCACATAGCTTTGATAGTTTATGCCTTGTAACAAATAGTAGCCAGCAAATCAATTGCGGAAAGGTCTGAGGAAAAAAAATAAGTCTACTCACTCTCTCCTCCCTTGATACTGGTTTAGGTCGCTTATTTCGTAGACTGTTTAAAAGTGGACGTACCAACGTGGATGTTGGTTAGCGAAAACAAATCTACTACAATTGTTTTTGTCGTTAACTTTATTAACTCCCATGAAAATTGTTGATTGTTTTTTGTTTTTTTTTCTGTCGAAGTGTTGTAAATTCTTCTTTTGAAGTGTTTTAATTCAATGTTTTTAGCTACGGCAAACTAAACAGAAGTGAAGATTTCCTCTAACCGATCATTTTGAAATTTCCTTGTTACAAAAAAAAATAATAATTGCAAAAACCTAGCTGTACTACTTATCTCTTTTTACAAAATATTATGAGCTATGAATGTTTAAGATGAGTTGAGTTTATTTGTAAAGCGATTGGGTTGGTTTGCAGTCCGGTTCAGAAAGTCTCCATTTCCGTTTCAGAGTGACACAAGATTGAATGAAACCACAAAATCTTTTATGGTTTTTTTGTTAACTCAGTGGTAGAGAAACTTTTAATTGACGCTTACGCAGAGCTTTTTACAAAGATGTTTCATTTCTTATGCGACATATGAAACTTTATCTTTGATTTGAACTATTAATGATGTTCTGTTAAATGTCGTTTTCTGGTTATCGTCTCTTAAAAAAGCTTTTTATTAAGTTATTTCAGAGCATCTTTGTATGGTGATGGTTTTAATAAAGCTTTACGTAATAGTGGTTAATCGATTAAGTATAATTTCCCTCAAACCTTTTAAGCAGAGCATCATGCTGAGTTTACTCACCTCACGAGTATCCTGTCTTTTCGTATTGGCCAGAAATAGTTAAACTGCTTAAGAGACGAGGCGCTGGTCATTTATCATAGAAATTATGACTTGGTACCCAGTCCTACATTCTCAGGCCAAAGTCTTTGTAATTCGCGGATCAATTCAATGCTTGAACATTCCCCCTACCAACCTACTGGCATTTTACTGCCCTTGTGCAATTCGAACTTTGCCCGCGTGGGGTGGGAGAGTCGAACGGAACTGTTCAGTCTTACCAGCGGATTACAAGTATTTTATTTTTTACTATGGAAGTTTTTAAAGTTAAAAAGTTCACTTTGCGCCCTTTTGGGGCGGGCGGGAAGGGGGCGGAATTTAAACGAACCAATACTCAAAAGTTCAAATTCCAGAGCTATCAGGAGTCTCTATCAGGAATAGGAGCGAGAAAAATTTGATGGGTTCTTCGTTCCCATAAAATAATCTGATCACAATCTTGGTTCAGAAGCTATCAACACAACTGTACCCAAGCTTTAGAATTCTAGGGCGTGTTGAGTACTGCTGAACCTGTCTCTTGGGGTACCACAAAGATCTATTTAGAGCCTCTGATATTCATCCTTTACCTTAACGATCTCCCCAGCGTGTAGGTGGAGTGCAGCTTCAGTGAGCTGACGACACAGCCTTGTTTTCATCAGCGCCTCGTATGTTCACTATCTATGTTACCTATATCAGAGAGTTCGGAGCTCAATTTGGTAGTTTACTTATTTGCGTAATTAATTCAAAGGCAATGCTTCGCGGGGCGTCGCAGAGGCTTGCCGAGGATAATTCCAATCACTATGTGTCAAAAAGCGTCATCCTTGATGAACATGCATGAAGAGGGAAATGATGATATTTTAGTATTGCGCTGACATCTGGGTTTGCTACAAGAAGATAAACAGAGGAACATTCGAAGATTCACAGAAGTGCGCCGGAATTTTTTTGTAGTGACCTTACGATGAAAGCTTTTAAGTGTCTAAGTTCCAATGAACAAGTCTTTTAACTTGGGAGGAAAGTATCGATGGACGGGGTCCTCACTCTAAATAATTGTAGAAGTACAAATTCATTTTTCATACCTCTTACAGTATATTTTCAGAATGTAGTACCCCGGGCTCCTGTTGATACCACCCTGAATCACACATGCACAGTTTTCTTGCATCAATTTTCGAAATAAAGGAGTCTATTCTTTCACCACAGAGGTCGACCATTCCACGAGTGTGCTAATGGTAGAAACGGCAAACGGCGAACGGCAAACGTGAAAAATGGCGGGAAAATCATAGTCACATAGTATTTTTTTGTGAATGAAAGTGATCCTCGTAGTAATGTGCACTACTTGGGCAGTAATGAAAATAAGGCCTGAAAAAAATTCAGGCCTGTACGGGATTTGAACCCATGACCTCTACGATACCGGTGCAGCGCTCCACCAACTGAGCTAACAAGCCAATAGGGAGCTGGTCATGATGTTGGTTCCGAATAAACCCGTAAAGTGATGAATAAACGGTTAAGAATATATGAATACATATACGTATATATATACATATATATATACGTCTTTATCCGCAGTTCAAATATATGACTTTCATATATTCTTAACCGTTTATAGTATTTTTTGCCGTTCACATTCCTCTTGGACCCTACGTAAACGTAAATCTAAATCTCTCTGATATGCAAGAGTACTGAATGATAACATTTTCAATGTATCTTGATCTGAAAATCTCAGTTACTCCATTTGTACCACTAATCACCGATCGTTTGTTCCGTCTGCTGTCGGCGAGCATCACCCGATGGTTTCCGCCAATTTCCCGCCCTTCCCATTTAACTTTGCGATGTCATGAGTGTGGCCAGGTTACCAAATTTATTTTATTCGATCAAAATGGAGAGTTTAAACATATAATACACATGTAACTCTGCCATCTTACACCGCCGTAAGTATTATTTTCCCATATCTTCTTCATAGTCACAGACGTAAAAGTCAAATGATTTTTGGACGGAGATCATGTGCTTTTTCGATTCCCGGAATACATTCCTCAACAACACCAACACACAAGAACATACAAAAAGTAGATCTTTAGTTGCTGAAACTATTTCTGTTTTCCAACAATTTTTTTGTAAATATATAAAATAACAAGTGTACATCCATTTCCAAAGTTACTTTTGTTATACAAAACGCAAAAGCATAGCAAATTTTTGGAAAACTTAAAAAAAAAAACTTTGGACTTTTCTCTAATAATAAAACACAACAATACAAAAGTATGTAGCGAACTGTAGCTCATTACTGTGTAAGACTGCTAACAGTGGCTCTCTCGTATTTATAGAGATAATAGTTATCCCAAAATGACCCTGAAAAAGTCTTGAAAAGATATTCTTGAATCAATCTATTAATTAACAGGCTCTGCAGTCTAATTATGAACCATTCCTTACACCTTGGTAGTCCAAATGGTAATTAGTATTTATAGCAAGAAAAAAACTGTCCTGTTTTAGTACTTCTTAACAAAGAAAAGATGTTTTGACATCTCTATGAAAGCTCCAGCTAAAAAAAATATTATATAACTTAGTAATCCTATTGCAGGTCATGTAAAATTTGAATTGTAAACTATCGGTGCACTGCCCAGCAGTGAGATTGTGCCATACAGCACAGCCCTCATGCAACACAATTTGTTAGCTTTCTTATGGCTTTCTGTGAAAGACATCAAGTACATCAATTGTTTCTACTATCTTAACACAAAAAAAGGAAAATAATTCAACCAAAATTTCAGTGCTTGATCATACAAGTTGAAGAACCAATTTCCTTTTTCTATTAAATAAATCCAAACAATGGTATCTAAAGCCTGAAACATGAAGTGAAATTTTCAAATACAAAATATACCGGTAATAATATAAACTGGGTCATAAATACAAATATAGTGATGCTCTGCTTATAAAAATATAACCTGTGATGTTTGAACCATTCAATATCTTCCTGGATTTCTCTCTTACTTGGTATTTGCTCAGAAAATTTTTCACTTTAAACACCTAGCCTGATGTGCCTCATTTCTAGGCGAATAATCTTCAAATAAATTATTTCAGGGCTGGGTGTGCAAATATAACACCATTTTTATCAAACAGTCATAAAGCTACACCAATCAATTTACAACTTCAAAACTGAACAGTTGTGGTTTAGACTACATGTACATGCATTACAAGAATTTGTGGCAGGCTTTTCACTTGCAGTGATCATGTAACAGATGTCAACAGTTCTATGATTTAAGTGGAAAAGTCAACCGTGGTCTGGGGAAAATCTCAGCACACTTGGAGAGTAAGAGTTTTCAGTATGAAAGGTGAAAATCTATCTACATGTACAATATATTTTTAAAAGATCAGATTAGAGCTACCACATGATAACAATCCAAGCTATTCCCACATGTAACATTGTAATTATACTTGTTAATCCAGCACCACTATTTTGTGTTTCAGCATTGAAGGTAGAGTTTGGGACTGAAAAGAATTAGCAAAAAAGGGTGAGTGTCTGTAAACAGAATTTTTGAGAATCAACTTCAGTAGTGATAGCAGCCTGCTTATATCAATCAATGATGAATGAGCCTTTGCATTTTCCCTTCTCTTTCCTGCTTCAAGAACCCAAACTACCCCCATGACTCTCACACTTTGCTGCTACTTTTAGCCCCTGTTACCCAAATATAATAAAGAATGAATTAAGAGAGATTGTCAAGCAGATGGTATCCAGTGAAATAAAATAATGTTAATCATCATTTTGAAATGAAAATAATTGTCCCCTATACAGGAGGCCTGTGTGTATGTTTTCAAGGGTCTTGGATGATTTTCTGATGAGACAGTTTATGCAAATTCAGAGGGGAAAGATGAACTTGGTTTTGAACTATCTTACATAACAGACTTCTCACTTTGATCTTCGATTGGGCAAAACCAAAGTAAGAAAAAACATTATATAGTGAACATCCCTGAAAGCTAATAAAGTTAAATAATTCAAGGACTTTGATTAAACTATTGGGCCTTGGCCAAAGAGAAGCCAGGGGCACTCTGTTTTGAGGATAGACATTACATGACCCACACTAAACATTTCTATTCACTCATGCCAGGAGTATACAACTAAAAGCAAAATTTATGAGTATCAGGCAATTGTGATGGAAATGACAAAAAAACACAGGGATTGTATGAATTTCTTACAGTGGTTAGGATAGGCTGGGATTGAACAACACACACATGCATCATAATTATAAATCAGCACAACAACTTAAAGAAGAAATTTCTCCTTTTAGCATTTAACAGATCCAAATAAATGTGAAACAAATTCAAACAGAGTGAACACCAACCTTGTGACTGATGAGTTGACCTCATCTTTGCTAAACTAATTCCTGTGAAATGTTGAAAACATTTTTGGTCACAAATAACATTCAAAAGATTAGTTATGATTTGCCAGTTACCTCTTTTTTATTTTTGAATTAGTAAAATATTACCAAAAGGTTTGAATATCTTGTGTTAAATTTCCTTAACCTATATAACCCTACAAACTATATACTTTTGCCATTTTTTTATTTCCTTTGTTTCAAACTAAAACATTAGCATACAAATAAAATTTGGACCACATGAAAAACTAAGCCACAGCATGTACATGTGAAAATATTCTGGACACCATGTGCAGGTTATTTTATTTCAATTAACCATTTAAACTTAACTGTTGACATGAGATTTTGTTTCATCATGCAGCAGCCCAACAGAGAATAGGTTTGCTAATCACCTCCAAAATAGCCAATCATTGCATGCAAAAACACTATCCACCTGAGCAGAACTAACCAATTATCGTTATTTTAAACAAAGAGCAGTCTTGAATCGAAGGATAATGAACCCTGATTACTGTTAACACTTACCAGGTATCATTGTCACTGTTGTGGGTCTACCAGTATGACTGTCTGTTGCTTTCTTCTTTATATTTATAATCTTGTTCCATTTCTCACTATTCTTAATTCCTTTGTTTTTCTTAACTGAACAGAAAAAGTTGATAAGATCAAAAGATAATGTAGTTGTGATGATCACCATTTACTGTCTTTTGCCAAAGTTTGATGTATACCAGTAACATAAACTTAAATTTTGACAAATAATATATGCTAGTAGTCAAAATACAGCACCTTTGTCAGATAAGGATCTCTTTTTTTGAACAATGTTAATGGCATTTTGCCAGTGATTTTCTTTTCTTCTTTATATCAATAATTTTTTACCTTCTGCCACTGCAGGTGTTTGAATTCTCAGAGACACCCGGTGGCTTCTCAATCTTTTCTTATTGTAGCGGGAGATTGCTTGTAATTCAAGCACATACGTCCGATTGGGTTGCAGGTTGCTTATTGTGAACCTGTGGATTGTCCCCTTTAATCTCTCATGTCGGACTGGCAAAGTTATGAATTCTTCCAAATGGATGTCTGGCCTCAGGCTCCACTGCAGTCTGTATCGGTGGATGGGTAGAGCTGCGATGAAGACAACAACAAATAACTACATGTATACAACATTTGTATAAAAGAAATTTAAGTACTTAAACAATTCTCAGTCTACTAGAGACACAAATCTCCTGCCCAGAGAAGAGTCTTACCAATGGTATTAACTGGCTTCTTCCATGAAACATCAACCTGAGCTTGGCCTTTGACAGTGTACATTGACACCACATGGAAATCTCTTGGTGGCTGTAGTCTTTGTGGTTCTGCAAAAACTAGTTTACTTGGGATACTGAAGGCACTTGAACCATATTGTGTCACTGCTACCACTTTATACTGGTGCCAAAACAGTGGCATGGGTTCAACTTCCACTGAAGTATTTGTAGTCTACCATAACAAACAATATAAACTAAATGAGAACAAATAATCCTGACAAATTACTAGTACAGTGTAAGTTATCATTATCTAATGGTACAACTTTTCGGATAATTTGACATATAATATGGACAGATATTTTGTGATTTATGCTATTCATTTTGCCATGCCTGCAGGTAAATAAGGTTTTTACTTTCTACAGCATTAGTTATCATCTTCCTTCAAAGGATGACTGAGCTAACCAACAAGTTCTCTGCAGCTCAGTGGTAGAGGATCAGAGACAAAAAAGGCAGGACATTATCTAACAGTCTACATTTCAATTCCACACAGAGAACTTTTCTTCGTTCTTTGTCCAACCCTTATGAAAAAAATAACATCACTCCTTATCATTATCATCATTATTATCAAAATTGTTTTCATCACTACTATTATATCTGCATGTTAAGGCATGGCAGATTACCTGCACAGGACATTGTCACAATGAAGGTTTTGTATATATGCATGCCTGAAGAAGTTATTTTGTCACACGGCCATGTGAAATCAACTCACATCTGCATCATGTTTTCATGCATAAGCAGCTTTGTTGCCACCTTTCTGCCATAAAACTCGATTGGAAAGTTGAAGGCATTGAGGAGAAAAATGTTTTGGATAATTCAACAATTGCCTTATAGGAAATGTATTTTAAAGAGCAATTGTATCAAATAACTTATCACTGTGCAAGAGTAGTCACTTTTGATATGTGCCTTATTGTTTTTGTTTTCATCCTCATCGCTGACAGTATATCTATATTAACAGTCAATTATCAACTTTCTCAATTGAAATAAACTAAATACCTGTATTAATTCTTCCCAGTCATGCCAAGCATCCTTGTCTAACTGTTCTCCTTTCATCTGCTTTCTTGTTGAGACAATGAAAACTGTTGCAGTTGGCCATGATCCATTCCACTTGATAGAAAATTTCTGCAAATGGTCATTTATAGAGACCTCCACATTTTCAGGTTGCATCAACACACCTGTAGTTAGAAAGAATGTCGTATCTTATAAAACTGTAGAATCAATGTCAGTCATTGGAAAATCACTCCACAGCCTTGTTTGCATTAAGTCTTGGTTGAGCCATTTCCTTACATTATTGTTATTTTTGTATATCTCAGTGATTTTGGAGTCCATTCTTCTCTCAATATTTGTTTTCAATATGTGGCTGGAGGAGATACAGAGCTAATCTAATAAAGATAATAATCACACTTCATAGGAATATATAAGGTTTTGAACCGTAGATGGTGAGCAAGTGAAGATATTGTCAGAGTTACTTATGGGGTAAAAACCAGTTAAAATTTTCTAGTGAGGAAGGTCTATTGGGCAGGTAAAATCTCGTCTGCAATAACAGTTAGCTCTGTTGCAAAGTAAACACACAAAGTTCATCAAACTGTAAAACATACATTGACTTTTTGTTGATCCCAATGGGCAGGAAGAGTTACCACCTGCTGGACAAAAATGCTAGTCACTTATAATCATTTGTCATAATTATAACTATTGAACCAAGGGAAAATCATACTTGACAATTTCATAATACACTGGTTACCTTAAGATTTTTACTGACAAACATTTAGCCTTGACACAATCACTGATATAATAATTAGACTTACTATGAAAAATCTGATAAGTAGAGAGCATTCAATCATTAAACAATAACATGTGAAGACATTTCTGCAGCATATATTGCATTGATCATGTCAAGTTCAAAGTCTGCCTAGTTTCCAAGCCCCTTATCTGTGTAGTATTCTCAAACTTTTACAAACTCAGGTGTCTTCTTTTGTAGATAATTTGTTTATGAAAGGTACAATAGAACAGTTGTTGATCCAGTTTTTGAGTGAAGTCATCCCATAATTGCTCATTATTGAAGACGCAGATCAGTTATAAAAGCGCTTTCTTATTACGCCTCAGTGAACCTTGTCCTATATTAAGTCAAGTCCTTAGAAAAGCTACTCTTCAAAGACCCATTTAAAAGTTTAATGGGGATGACAGCTAGCATGCACTCTGCTAGAGAGTCATCCCAATTGCCTGACTTCAGCTAAGAGATAAAAGCATCTACATCTAAGTGTTTTGGATGTTGATCTTACCCTCAGTGCGCATCAATTTTAAAAATCCACAAGACTCAGTGCATGCATTTCTATCCTTCACTGGTGTCACAGGTGACCCCTAAAACACAAATATAGCAACAAAGATCAGATACTTGACATAAATAATAAACAAAATGGAGCCAAAGTATGAGCTAAATAGTGACAGATTCTCTTTATTTCATTTGTTATCATTCACCAAAATGTATTTATATGAAATCAAATTAAAAATTCTCTGTATTTATCCATGAAGTAATTTAAATATACTGTTACATCAGTCAGATTGTTTTGGAGAATTATTCTCCAACTAACAATAGTTTTTCTCAGGACTAACCCTTGCCAGGGCAGTCACACTTCATACCCTGATCTACAATTCCAAGTATACTAACTATTCAAACTACTGCAATACTCTAACTTCCTGTGAATGGATTCTAAACACATTTTGCTTCATCATCCATTCAGTTACAAAATTAGCATTGCAAAACAAGTGAACAAGTGAACAAGTAAAAGAGTTTACTACTTACACATATGGATGCACATGAAAGCTTTTCTTTCTTTCTCTGTTCACATGGTTTCATACACTAACAGAAAAGATTGACAAAATTATTTCATCAATTTAAATGGAAAGGTGTAATATTTATACATGAAAAGTGTACAGCCATCTTGAAATAAGTTTGTCACTTGAGAGCAGTCCTGCACAGTGAATCAACCAAATTCTATGTTAAAAAATTACAGCATGCTCATACATCTCAAACAATGCACAAAGTTGAAATTTTGTCCATAAATTTGTACTTAAATGTTCATTTATTGTTCATTCAATGTTTCTTCAAAGTATATTATCTTACTAGATCAAAAAAATTGGCTAGAATGATACTCCTATCATAACATTAAACATGAAAATAATTTTTTTGTTCTGATTGGCTGAGAGAAATTAAGGTTCAGTGCAGAAAAGGGTAGTTCAGTGTAAAATAAGGGCAATAGTCCTCCTACAGCACCAGCTACTTTTAACGACTGCCTCTGGAAAGCTGGTTAACTAACTTAGAACAGTCTCTCCTCAACGGGTGTCAACCAATACCAGCACCATACAAACAACTCACTCAGGGCATTAACATTGCACACGAACCGAACAAAATGACCTAACTTTACCAACAGATCAACACCAACCAATCACAACTGACCTACGCCACTTGAGTCTTACAGCCAATAAAATCACAGCAAAACTGACCAATCAGTCAATACAAACCAGCTTACAACATGGGACTGACAACAACTACTCACTTGACTCTTGATGATGACTTCCACTCAGCTGGTTCTCGAAATGTCAGTCACCACAACCAAAAACAGTCCTTCTCAGGACTACACTCAACCAAACAATTAAACTGCACCATTACATTTTTGGGCAATTTCAAAAAAAATGAATCACTTGTAATTTCTTCAAATTGCACTCCAAATCATATGATTACCTGTACTAAGTGATAAAAAATAATGTGCATTATAAGTAACTTACTGCTGAACAGCCCTCTGTAACACATTCAGAGATCCATGTGACCTTAACAGAGACAAAATAAGTTACTCATTAGAAACTGTGTGTTGTTCAAATTTTAAAGAAGTGTATTAGACAAAGGGTGGGGCATGCAATGGTGGGGTGTACTTCTCTCAAAGTGCAGCAACACAGACTGCCATACACACTGCATCCACAGCACAAGCTATTTCATACTATCATCTTAAAATAATTAGAAAATGTTGCTGAGTAAGAAGAGAATTAAAGCGGTTGAGTAACGTATGATATTAAAAAAAAGAAGCATTTGGGTTCTATGTTCCTATTGTAATTCACGCGAGTAAGCGTGGTACTTAGCAGATATCGAGCCACAGGAAACACAATTTAAGGAGGCAATTGATGAATACTTATCCATTGACAAACCATTCAAACAAAACATGATGTAACCGTATCCGTGAATAACCACCCGCGAGAAAAAAGGGTAACAAAATTTAAAAATTCTAAGATATCACTTAGCTTTTCTTTGTCGATCAATCGCATTACAATATCACACCTAGCCGATAATTCGCTAAAAGCCGATGGTCTGTTAAAGAGATTTTAGGGAGGATTATTTCGTCAGAGTTGCACTCCCGTGCTATATCTGTTTGCCGTATGCTCCCCAATCAAAATAGAGAAATAGATGTCAACTACTTTACAGATCAAAAGGGGTTTGAAATTATCATCCAAAACTATTTGATTTTTCATTACAATGATGAAACAATATGATAAACATGAACGCCATGGCTAAATTTAGCTACCATTCCTTATCACATTTGTGTAATTCAACACTTCTTCAATTTTCAAAAAAATACAAATTAAAGATGAATTCCAGCTTAACTTTATAAGAAAATATTTCAGCAGAAGAAAAGATGAAAATTAAAACATAAGGGAGTGGACGAGTAATCAACATTTGCATAATAATGATCCGTGGATGAACTTTGGTTTTTCGATCGTATGTCGCCATATGCACGAGAGATATTAATACTCTTTTATCCAAAATCTATTATTACTTACTAATTGTGCCCATTAAACAGTGAGAAAAGACGAGAAGGGCTTAAATCTTTAGCTGCGTTAAAATAGAATGCAAGCGCTTAACTTTAAATGCAAATTTTGGAGTTGATGTACAAACAAACACTGCTATTCATGTCCTGCATAAGTTCAAACGCTTTAGACGCTACAAAATAACCTTATTCGAAGTCGATACCTTTTTTCATTCTACGGTCTTCTTGAATTTTTCTCTTTGAAGTTACTCTCCCCATTGAAAAATTATGGGTTTGTATTAATTTTTAGACAAATTTGCTTACATCTACACACGTTCCTAAACATGTCAACGATTCTCCGGTAAAAGTTTGCAACTTTTCACTTGTGTACACGGTTTTTTTTGGTGCGACATGTTTTTCCTTAACTGCATCTTAGAACACTTAGAGAAACAATCCCTTAAATTAGTGCATGAAGAAAGCCATAAGCTGCAAGTAAAACAAGTATACTTACATTGAGATGTGTTTCGATCTCCTGCTGAATACATTTCCACGCAGTTACGATGACGCGCGAAAGACCACGGAAGAAAAAAAAACAACATGAGTATAAGAAATAAGGCGCTTCCTGAAATTATAGGAAGTTCAAAACAAAACTTTGTCACCTGCAACATTAATGACCTAAGTACTCTCGTTACAAGATCGCAACCTGTCAAAGATTTCACCGACAGGTTCATAACACACTTGGGAAAATTCGCGGATCGCTGAGTACAAACCTTTGCAAGGCAGCGACTTCTGCATCGCGCTGACAGCACAGAAGCCAAACTTTTCTTGTGTTGTAAATGCAAAATGAAGAATCCAACAAGTATAATAGCGTAATGATTCATAGAAGTTAGAGGAAAAGTGAACTTTAAAGAAGAAATGAGGTGCTGAACATTCCAGTTTGAAAGGGTGAGAACGATTAGCAGCAAATTAGCATAACAGAAACCCGGATTAATGCGAGTATAACACGTGCTACTTCGAGAAAGTGAAATCAGAGGGTGTAACTGAACGATAAACTTAAACTTAAAGAGAATTAAAAAGTCAATCAAGTGTACTATTCTTCACGATCCAAATTAGTAAGATATCTGACCGACTGATTTGTGAACCAAACGGTACTAAGCGCGTGTATTTTTTTTAACTTTATTTTTTTTTTTTACATACAGAAGAAAGTAGCTGTTAAAGAAAAAATGTTGTGGGCAATACCGAGCTTCGTTGCGCACTTACGTAGATGGAGTAGCACGAGAGATAGCCTCATATTTCGCAGTCCTGTACACAAATCCTACCTAGATTTACTCGTTCTGATGAGCAAACCAGTGTCCCTTTAGAATTTTGTGGCTTCTTCAAACTATTAATTCAATCAATTATGCATTCGGGATATTTGAAGTGTTACAAGTTGCTCTCCGTTTTAAAAGCAATTAATGGAAGTAGATCATATGTGAAAGTCTCTCAACTTCAGCGAAAGCGATTTCGTAAACAAACATTACTTTGTCTAATTTCATACTCTGCAATATGTAAATAAATGTTAGTTTTCAGGGATGGCACAATTGTTCTTGAATTTTAGCACACCGTGAAAGAACACAAAGCAATATTTTACGGGCACGTTCCAGCGAGATTTCAACGGGACAAAGATTACATTTGAGGTTACTCTACTTATAGTGCTGTTTCGTTTCTTTACCCCTATGGTAGCTTGTTGACCATTCTTACTTCTTCGACAATTCTCTTAACAGTGAAAAGATGCTCAAATAATCAAATCCCAAAACAAATCCGCGATTACTTAGGAAACCAGATCACGTTCAGGACTCTTGTCGGAAGGACCGGCGTGCGGTCTGATATCCATCTTCTTCGGTGTTGTCATATTTAGAAATAAGGTTCTATATCGGGCACATAAACATGCCCCACTTTCCACTTGACTGACAACGCAAAATGTCGATTTTAGATAAAAAGCTGACATTGCCCGCAGATATTGCAAAGGGACATCACCTATTTGTTCCATCCGAATTCTCGTCTCTCTATTTTCAATTTCCTCTGGGCAATCTTATAGTACATGATAAGAAAAAGGTTTTGAACAATCCGAGCGAGCTCTGTTTACAGATGCTTTGAGAGAGAAAAGAAAATGTATCACTCTTAATCCATTGGAGAACCCTTAAGTTATCCGGTCAATAGAGGATGTCACGTGATCTATCAATTCAGGTAGTTGGGTGCTACCTGGTCCTAACTGCCAATAGGAGTCTAAAAGCCGTAGAAGTCGCGAGTATAAATCGAATTTCTGTCCGGCATTTTCATAAAAAAAAGTAATTTCAGGAGTTATGCAGGCGGTCGATGCAATAACTCTGTTCAGACTAACTTATAACACTTGACTACTGCCTTTAATTTACCTGTATTTTTAACAGATAGAACTGATAAAATTAAACCTCTGGAGAGCCTATATCTTTCTCTTTGATGTTGTTAGGGTAACGTTTAATTGAAAATATGATTTTGGTAGCCATGGATAGATTGTGTTGATAAACAAACACAAAGTAATATAGAACGCAAACCATGGTAACAGAATTCCTCAGTCTTAACAATGGCTGTGAAGCTAGGCGAGGGAGGTGCTCAAAACTTACTACATTCTACATCATTCTATGAGCAATATTCTGCCCGGAAATGATACTCGCCTGGTGCCGAACTTTTGATAAGGTGCACGTACGCTTCATCATAAATTAACTATAAGACTGAAAAGCCAACAATCAATATATTCACAGATTTCCTTACGAAACTCAACCAGGGTCGTGAAGGGCTGAAATGAGCATCAATCTCTTCCTCACTGAGCCGGCTCAGAGTCAGCTCTCTAACAGCCACAACTTACGCTCATATCTTTTTCTTTCCCTTAAAACAAGTAGCTTGCTAAGCTGTTTGTCTGATAATTAATTTATCTATCTATTTGTTAAATTCACTTATTTATTTACTTAGTGTGTTGTTTGGTTGAAGTAGTCGTTATACCTTAAATTCTCTTTTCTCAATCGAGATGCAGTTAATAACAAACAAAACGATATTACAAGACGTAGAAGTCTACAGTGACAGTGAGTGTTGTACACACTTGATGATCGTTTTTCAATTGCAGCGCATATAATCAACCAGGAGAACAAACGTGTTCCTGGAAGGCTATGTAGAATAAAGCAACGAGAGAGAACAAAAAAAACAATCCTACACAAAAGTATAACATGTTTAGAATATTTGCACCTACCGGTCGTATTTTGGGGATAGAAAGGGAAATCTCTCGCCAGCAATTAGTAGTGATAAATGAAAACGTGCAACAGGAAATAGATTCTTGACAAACACGAACTGAAGTGTGAATGCCAAATGCACCTGTAAAATCAAGTCATACAAAACTGAACCCACTAGAACATGGAAAGTAAAGATTAAATGAATGTGAATATTTGAAAATCATATATGTGAACTGTGGAAAAAGAAGTGAATATAAAAGCGATCTTCACAGCAATGAACACTACTTGAGCAGTAGTGAAAATAAGGCCTGAAAAAAAATTCAGGCCTGTACGGAATTTGAACCCATGACCTCTGCGATACCAGTGCAATGCTCTACTAACTGAGCTAACAAGCCAACTGGGAGCTGGTCATTATGTTGGTTTCAAATAGAGGTGATAAGTAAGTGACTGTGAATATATAACAATATTTTTAGGCCTTGTTTTCACTACTGCTCAAGTGGTGTTCATTGCAAGATCACTTTCATATTTAACGTCAAGATTGTTAACACATCCATAGAACAACGTCCAGTTCAGCATCCAGTTGAAATTTTATTATAAAGCAAAGTGTTAAAAAGCGTTTTTACAACACCGTTAAAATGTTCATCTCTCACTGAACAGAAATAGCCAACGACAAATCTACGTATACCCTGTTTCGAGTTCGACGCGGCATTGCTTTATGAGACAATCATGTGACGGAATGTAAGTTTGAAATTTCAAGAGGCTATTAAAAACATACTGCTGTTTTTCTAGCAACTGCGATAAAACTTACTCAGCTTCTAACATAGCCTTATGCCACATCACACTAAAAAAAATAAGCTTATGGTGTGCAAAAAACATAAAGAGCATCAAACTCAGAACGCTTTCAGTAATACGCGCTTGAATTTTTTTTTTTTGGTAAGAAGCTTCTTCGTTTCCGAACATTGTGGTAGTTTTCCAGAATGTACTGTTGTTCACACGTGTATATATTTACTTCAGTAGTTTTACAGCAACACGACTGACCACCATGCTAAGATCAATTCTGGTTGGGAATTAACCTCCAAATGAGCGCACAACAGTCCTTCAATGTCTCCCATTCCCTGCTATTATCTAGTCTGACTAATTTGGATTCGTGATTGACAAAGTATTCTTTCGTAAAGCCCCCTACATGTAAGTCTCTCTTTGTGCGGTGTATTCAAGCTGAGGGGTTCTGTGCGTCCTAATGTTCTTCGGTTTAATTTTGAAAGGCTTGTCAGCTTGTGAAGATCTCGTTATAGAGTCTTGCCTGTAAACAAATTTTCCTTTATTTGTTGGCACCGGCTGACGAAGAAGCTGAGTGTTCTGTTGAAGAAGCGGAAACTTGTTAATATACATTTTGTTAAGCGGAGTACGGCTGATCATATTAAAGTGAACCAGTAGGCGGGATGACAAAAATGCTTAGCATCAGGTGCGCGGTAGAATGTGAAGAGTTTCAATTTTTTACAATAGTCCACACTTTCTATCGGTCTACTGGCGTAATAACATATGCAAGATGTTGGGAGAACACGAGAAAAATCACGAGCTGGAAACCGATAGAAAGCGCCGTTCATTGTCTTATAACTGAGAAAATAACTATGGGTTCAGTGACTGTAAATATATGGAGATCATATCTGTGCACTGCGGTAGAAGAAACGAAAATAAGCGATCCTCGCAGTTATGAACACTACTGAACTAGTAGTTGAAATAAGGCCTGAAAAAAATTTTCAGACCCGTACGGGATTTGAACCCATGACCTCTGCGATACCGGTACAGCGCTCTACAAACTACTAGTTCAACAGTGTTCATAACTGCGAGGATCGCTTCTATTCATGTATTCTACCACAGCGCACATACATGATTTTCATATATTTACAGGCATTATTCACCACTTGGAAAGTTTAATTGAATCCAACATATTGAATAACTCCCACTTGGCTTGTTAGCTCAGTTGGTAGAGCGCTGCACCGGTATCGCACAGGTCATGAGTTCAAATCCCGTACGGGCCTGAATTTTTTTTTCCTTAGGCCTTGTTTCAACTACTAGTTCAGTAGTGCTCATAACTGCGAGGACCACTTACATTCGTTTCTTCTACCGCAGCACACTTTTATGATTTTCATACATTTACAATTAGTATTCACCACTAGGTAGGTTAATTTGGATCCAACTAAATGAAAAGCGCTCCGTTGTCTTATTAGCTCAGTTGGTAGAGCGCTGCACCGGTATCGCAAAGGTCACGGGTTCAAATCCCATACTAAATTTTTTCAGGCCTTATTTCAACTACTAGTTAAGAGAGGATCGCTTATATTAGTAACTATGGGTTTGCCGGTGCAATAAAAGAGAGGTTCTTGGCCAATCAGGGCGCTCGAAGTATCTCGATTATTTTGCGATATGTGATAGAAGCAACGCCATACCCAGGTTTATATTTTCTCGAAGCTGATCCTGCGCTTCGTGTTATGACCCAGAAAACAAGTTTCGTTTTCATTTAGGATGGATGGCAGTTTGCCCCTCGTATATTGACCAAAGCTTCAAGATTGTTAGAGAAAATAGTACTGACATGATAGGGTTTCTATCACACTGACTGACAAACTTTGGTACACAGCACCATTTGAATCTGAATCACTGCTGTACACCGCAAGACGACATTTCCATGACTGGAGAAACCTCACCGAGTGTTAAAAATCAGTTATAGTTCGAAAGTAATTTTTTGATCACGCGCATTTCTTTTCCAATGTTTGAGAAGATTTATTTGTTTGTTTTGTATTACTATTCAAGGGAATGAACAAACTATAGAGCGTATGAATTGAGACGAGGGAGAAATGGTGACATGTATTTGTATACCTTGGGGTCTCTCCATTCCGCTTCTAACGATTCTCTCTTGTCATGCTTCCTGTCCTACAACACGAGTTTGGAAATAAAATAGGACAAGTGTAAAAACAAACATCACGCCAAACACACAGGATTACACAACATAAATATCACATTAGTTAAGAGAAGAAACACTTCAGTAAAATCGTAACGGTTTTTTTGCCTTTACGTCTCCTCGCTGAGCATGTTGAGAAGAAAGTGATTGTTAATCGAGGGTCAGTGCACTCGATGAATCTTACACAAAATAGACAGCGATGTCAATTTGTACGCCAATGGATAGCGTCGAAGGCGCGCTCTGAGGCTATTCACCTTCGAGCAACTCGGGCGAGATTTGCACCCGAAAATATCGCAATCTTTGCAGGAATAAATTATGATCATCTTTTTGTGCTGTTTTCATCTCACTGTTCTAGTAAATACTAAAACGACTATTCACCTCCAGCTACCTCCATTTCGGTGAATATTTATTAATTAATCACTACTCAGAGGCCAGCTTTTGCTGTTAGTATTCATTGATTTCAAACTCCACTGGCTCCGTCCTCCTACATGTAGTAGATCACGGTCTGATTTTCCTACTCCTTACAACAGTATTTTTAAATTCCAGTATAAGTTTATGGCATTTGTTGTAACAGGTAATGCAAACAGGGGTTTAGGAAAATAAAGCCAACCAGAGTGAGAAAAGCCTGATACATGTGGCCGTCTGTAGACTAGTTCTAATTCACTTACAATTCGATTAACATAACAACTGGCGGGAACCCAAATCAGTAATGAGAACACCACAACTGTCCCAGCCAGATTGTCCTTCATGAACTGAGCGACTATATTACTGTCCAGGGTGGTTATAAATGTCCAAAATCTCTCTACAAGATCTTGACTTAATTTCTCACATTTGCCCTGATAAAAACAAACAAACAAAATTGAGTGAATGTCACCTGTCAGTATCACGTGGATAGCACATACCCTTTGCGAAGGGTATGTTGTATGTTGGGTATGTTGTTGTTTAAAAATTAAATACCATTCGCCACGTAAGTTAGCCTGCAGAGCAGGCGTAATTTTGGCGAACGAGTGCTCAGTATTTTCTAAACGAAAATTATGGCCGCCATCTTTGATTTTGATGGCAGCGGAAGGCTGGAGATAGAAAGAAATTTTTTTACCTAGGGGGCGGTCGACGGTCAAAATAAGGAGAGGACTTGGGGTGGGGGAGTGAAGAGTCTTCTCGCCCTTACCCCGCCCCCTACCCCCACCGTCCACCCTCACTTCAAATCAAACATGGCAGGTGGGATAAATGATCGTGAGCTTGTGACGTTAGCTATAATAAGACGACTGCACTGCAGGCTATACTCAAGTAAGTAAGTCACCTTGACACAGGTACCCTGCTGACCCTCCCCCTGACAGGATCGCCCATCAAGGATGTCCAATGTTGAACCAGTATCGTTGTCTCTGTGAGGAGCACAAATTCCATTGCTTCCCTGACAGCAAACTTTACAGGAATCATCCACACCGGAACATTTACATGGCTTCAGATTAAGGGCTTCACAGAAAGGTTTACACACTCCATTTCGGCATGTCCCACTGAAAATATTCAACAACTCACTTTGTTGGCCACACATAGATTGTTTACTTTTCAGTACCTCATCGGTCTAACCCTAACCCTACTGTTTTAGTTGGGGAAGGGGTTCGTGCGCAGTTGCTCAGCTGCTGTCGTTAATCCAAAATTATGTAAAGAAATGCAAGAGGATATTTGGCTGAGAGAGTTTTCTTCGACTTCCCAAAGTTACTGAAATTACAAACAGTTTGATGTAAATATCTACTAAAGCCTTTTACTCTCATGAGTTATCAGTGTATCAGCACTCTTTGAACCGTCAAACAGAAAGGTAAGCAGCACACGTATGACTGATTTGTGGTTATCATCCCAGTAAGGACAACATATTAACCTGTCAATGCATTTAGCTCCATCCGGCATGTTAGGTGCTGCAGGGCATTGGGCACTCTTCCCGTCACAGTAAGTGCTGCCTTTACAGGTGGTTGGATCAGCTTCACGACACAGAATTCCCGTGGAATTGTTGTACAAACAGTCCTTGCAGCACGGTGAGTCATAGCCATCACTGTATGAAAAAACATGCACCTTCACTAACAACACCAGGCATAAAATTCACTGTCTCTCTTTACATCATCATTGCACATAAGCATCACATCCTCGTAGTATGCAGGAAGTTTGTCTCTATGGACCTTGTTAAACGAGTCTTCTAAAGCTCCGTGGTAGAGCATCCGAAGTGCTAATTGGAGGGTCCTAGGTTCGACTCCTATTGAGAGCACTCGGAGTTCTTTTTCCCAGACTATGCCTGTGTCATTCACTGAAAAACATCTTCTTTAACAAATTAATTGTGGATATTCCAGTAAAAAGAATTCTCTGCTTAAAAATTTTATTCCATCACCGAACTTAAAATTTTTTTTTTTTCTTCACAATTTTTAGAATGTTCCACATTCCCTTTACATAATTCTTTCCACCGGGTTTCGAAATTAACAATTTTTCACACTTTCATTTCGCATGTTTCCAGCCTTGTGTTTGTACATTTTAGTTTTTTAAGAATGTAGACTGGAAGCTGAAAGCTCAAGTTTTCTGAAATTTGAAACCAGAGATCAACAAGATCGAAGTGGAAAAGTATAAATAACAAGGTTAAGAAACTCGGAACACAAACCTGCAGAGAGCTGAGTCCTTCAGCTTGCAGTTTGCGGTACAACATTGGCTTTCCTGTGCACCTATGCCACCGGGATCACATTCTTCCTCTTTTTCTTTCTTGTAATTACCACAGATTTCAGCCCTTGGTTCTGTGTTGGAACAGATCATACAGTTAGGTGGTAAGCATGTACAATCACTACTTGCATTGGTATTCTCATATAAGCACGCCTTAGGGGTCAAACATTATTCACTAGGGTAAAAATTCTCTCAGATGCTAAACCTATCATCACAATGTCGTTTCACTTTTAGGCTGATTGTAAGTGAATTCAGATAAACAAGCCTCATTCTGCTGCAACTACTGAACTAGTACAACAGTTTCATCTACATGTGCAGCCTGCCGTAGGTGACAGCCTTAGAACTGACGCATATATTACTCTCGTGTAAATGAAATAAATTATCTTTTGACGAGTAGATGATGCCAGATAACAAAATGTCTACATATGCGAACTACACCTAAAAAAATTGCCCAAAAAAGATCTTGAAAAATTCAGACTTCGCCGTGTTTCAAACCCGTGCTTCCGGAATACAAGCTGGGCGGTGCAACCAACCGAGCTTCGAACTATCATGTTCCCAGCGGGTAAATTCCTTTGTCCTTCGACAAAGTATCGAAACCAAGTAAAAACCTGAATTTTTTTCCAAGCATCTTTTTCTGAAATTTCCTCGACTACCAGTGAGGATCATTTCGTTATTTTCCATAAATTCCTTGAAACGATAGATCTCAATTTTACATACCGTAGAAACAAAACGACTTGGATTGTAAGACATTTAGAATCCTCCGCTTACTGCATGGAGAGAACAGCTGTAAAGTAAATCAAAGACTGTAAAATTTTAATGAAATCACAGCCAAAATACCGTGTTTCCTCGAATAAGCGCCCGGGCGCCTATCGAAATTTTGGGCTTAAAGGGAAGGCGCTTAAAACGTTTTCCCTTCTGTAAGTTTATTTTGGCTAACTCTTTAAAACAAAAACAACAACAACATTATCCGCGTAGACGTACAGTCAATATGGAGATAGAAATAACTGCAAGTGATTCCGCTGTAGTTGAAGCTTAAAAAGTTTTAAATTAGGTGTCGACAGAAACAATTCTTTCTTGTAGCCCTACTCATGTGAGAAAGTAAAGGAGGAGAAGGGCGCCTATTCAAGAGTGGCGCTGGTTTGACATAATGGCCGAGGGGGTGGGTGCCAATTCAAGGAAATAAGGTATGATAGCCTATGTAAATTGAAACCATGGTTCATTAATTTCCATCACGTGGACGCATTGGCAGCATTGCAGTCACAGCTTGACTATAGACTACACGCATTTAAACGACTACAGTTTATAAGCCTTTTTCAAGGAGTATCTGAGTGATTCAATTCTCGATTTCTTTCCCATTCATTACCATCTCCACCATATTCCATTATGTGGTCCGCTAATATGGGCCAACGGTTGACCTGAGAAGCAATAGCACTCAGTTTGATTGTGTATATGTTTATCAGTTACTCAAGCTGTTAAATTACAGTGGAGCGTCTGTGTACCTTGTTGTTTCTCCACTGTCCACTGACAGAGGCAGGATACATGATAAATTTTCCTCCATTAGATTCTGGTGGAGCACATTCTGTTGTCTCTGGGTCATGTTCGCTGCCAAAATTGTGTCCTGAAGAATGAATAAGCAGTGGCGCACATCAAATAAAACGCTATCATATTATATGATGATTGGTTGGATCACCTCCACAGTTAGCCTTTGAGAGCATGACATCATGTTAGTATAACAAGTTGAAATGCCATAATTTGTGGTTTTTTTTTCGGTTAGAATACTTATGAACTAACAATTTACACCCAGAGGTTTAATCGACATTAAGAAAAAAATGGAAAAGCTGATAAATCATGTGAGCCATTTGTCAGAGCAAACACTGAGTCGGTGTTCTTGGAGTACGTCTTTTTCTCAGAGCAGTGCTAAACAAAACTCAAGGCGCTTTATTGTCCTTAATTAACTTGTGGCAGATGAAATTTTTTTGACACTAAAGCCGAACTAGACCACTGTTTTTATACCTGTAATTTACACCTGGCTCCATACCAGGTGCATGAAAAATTCCCACAGTACAAACAGGTGTAAGGTTGCATAATGTTTTACTAAGATCTCCTATAAAGTGAAGTATCAAGGATTCATCGTGTACTACACTTACCAATTTCTTTCATCATTGAGAGTAATCCATCAGACATAAAACAGAAAAGACAACAATGATAGAATTAAAATAATTGAAGGTGATAGTGAACATTTTGACACCAATTAACGAATGATTGTCTTTCTTAAGAGTTAAGAAACCAACCAAGTGTGACATAAGCCTATTAATTCATGCAACGTAATATAAATAGGCAGGCCTGATAAATAGGCAATAAGGTACTTCACTAATTATTTCTCTGAGATAACATGCAGACTGAGACTGTGGCACCAACTGGGTTGAATGTAATATGTAATTGAGACATCTCAAATGAATGACATAAATAGACGGTTGTTCATTCAACAAATAACATACCACATTTTCTATACTTCGTTCCCAGTAATAACTTGTTAGCCAACAAATATCAGGGGCTTTTCCAGAACTCCAAAGTTCACCTTCAACCCCTCCATTCCCAAGAGTTCAAAATCAATTCTCCTTACAGCCTACAATAATGTCTTGCTTGAGTTAAGCACCTGCAGCCTTTTTACAGGACTTTCCAGTCCTGGATAATGTCAAAATAAAATTCAAGGCTTTTCCAGGTTTTCCAGGAACTGTGCAAACCCTGCCAAGGGCATACATTGATGACTTTTAACCCTTTCTGGTTATCAAACAGCAGTATAGTGCCAAAATTTAAGGCATGTAACTTAAGTGTGCCAAACTAACAAACTGAAAGGGAATAAACTTGTTTGCAGTGTACATGCAGTTTAGACCAAATAAAAAATTGTTTAACAGTTTCTGTACCATGAGCAGTAACAATGTCAGCCTCTTCTGTAAGGAGTTTTCTGCCCCAATTAACACTGCTACTTAGTCCAGTGTTCAGGTACAACCATCGATTATTTGTGAAATACCCTAAACACCAAAAATAGAACGTTATCAGAATATCTGACTAACTGGACCAATGCAAGGGGTAACCACATTCTCATTGCAGTCATATATCATCTCCTTTCCAGTATTTTGCATTGTAGACATTTTGTCACAGATAGTTCATTTTCAGAAAGCATATGTGTCCATCTTTGTGCAATTTACTAATTAAAAACTAAATCAAAAAAGTCAAAGCGCAGATAAATTTATTCTCTGAATTAAAGTTTAATAAGTAGATGTACCTTAAATTCAGTCCTACAGTACTTTTTCAGAAGTTATTAGATCCTGCAGAGTTTTAGATCTACCTTTAGTGTGTTAACCACAAACCTCAAACTGCGGTTAGGGGTTTGAGGTTAGAAGTTAGAAGTTTTTAAGATTTCAACCTTTATGATCAACGTCACCTTTCACCTGACAATTTAAAGCCATCACAACTAACATGTGTGCTACCATCTTGAATTACAAAAAGCATGAAAGTCCTTCATTTCAAACACATAACGTAGCAAGAAGTTTGGTTTTGGTCTACTAAAAAGAAGAGACCTCATCTCACATATATTTACAGGACATGCGTGAGAACTTTCAAACAGGAAGAAGAAAAAAGACCACCCAAACGGCCTTGCCGTAAGTTCAAACACGAACAGCAAATGGGTGACTTGTGACTCCTAGTGGTCTGCAGTAACACATACCCAGAAACAAACATAGATCTAAAACTCTTTAGTACAGACATGAGCATTGGGGATTATGTTTTATTTAAGTTTGTTTGTAAAAATGTTGTTGCAGGTACATTACTTTTTGTACAGATTCCTCCCACAGCGTTGCTCTTAGGATTGCCAACATAAGCCAGGCCAATGACACCATCAGCAAAGTCTTGGTAAGTAAACAGATGTGCAAGGCAGTATTGACGCCATTCTTCATTCCGACTGAATGCCTGACAAATATAATATAGCTCTGCATTGAAATGAACTAAAAATACCCTACACTGAACATGAAGGACAAGATAAGTTTAGGGGGTGGGAAACTTTTACAGAAAAATTTCAGTTCTGCTCACAAATTACAGATTAAGTTTCTCCCAACGATGAGGAGAGGGAAAAAAAACAATGATGCATGAATATCAGAATGGACTAAGAAGATTCTGTTTGCAAGATTTTATCAGCACAATTGTTGTGAGACCACATAATAATACCTTCATCAAGAAACTTTGTAAAAATTTACAGTTTAAAAAATAATCTAAATCATCTTTGCCTTTTCCTCCCAGAAAACCAAAAGGATGACTTAAAACTAGTTAGACTTGCAACTCACAACTACATTGTCACATAACTTACATTGAGAAGTTTCTTGATTTCCCATGGATTGCTGGCACTTGTGTCCTTGTTATAATGGTCTGTTTCTCCTGTAGGTGTCTTGTGGACTAACACCTGTGAATGGATAAGCTCCAGATTATGAACAATACACTATTCAGTTGCAAACTAAAGTTTGTTAAAGAGTAGGCTTCTATCTGCAGGTAGCTTATACCAAACTACTCTACTAAAACAAATTAAAATAATTTTTCTATAGATAGAAACAAATTACCAAAACGATTTACAATGCAATTGCTCACATTCTTTGTAACTCACAAAAGAAACAAAAGAAATATATGTGCGGGGGTAAAACACATGTTGTACTAATACTGAATGCACCCTTAACTGCTGTCTACCAACTTTTTCATACAGAGAATTTGAGTAAGATTGAGTAATAACAAAGTAACTTACAATGTACTAAATTACTGAGAGTATTTAGGTTAGGAAGGCACACAGGGCCACCAAGACACACAGGGCCACCAAGGCTGTCAGTCTTACTCCAAAGTAGATGTTAATTACTTACCACTATATCTACATACAAATAAATCTAAAAGAGTATTCTCTGATTCTACATGGCACACATGCTTGTGTCCATCTCATACATTACATTCAGAGCAGCTTAACAGTCACAATCAGCCATAATCACACACTTAGACAACATCTTGGTTGTAAAGTTCTACTGTGGACAATTGATTCTGGGTTTCAAGATATCTATTTTAAGCTTTAAACAATATAATATCAAGCAGAAAAGAGATGGGAACAAATAAAATATCAATTAATAATGGTAATAGGACTGAATGGAGTCCAATTCTGTCTATAATCATACAGGTGTGTAACAAAATCAGATGACCACAAAGAGGGAGTCTGATCTGTTTATCACAAGTATACATTACAGACAGAATTGGACACGAAGTCCTGTTACCAATTAATCAAAACTATGACAAAATTTGAGAAACTAAAAACTGGCTATGGATGTTTTCATAGAGAAAAAAAAAAACAACAGTTAACTCTGCGAGAACATGATGCATTCTATCCACTTACACAAGCATGACAGGTTAACTGTCCCTTAAACTGTCCTATAAGGAGTTATGTTCTATTACACTGTCCAATTACAAGCATGACGCATACTCTGTCCTATTAGTGCTCAAATTGAGTGGGTGATGACCAGTCACATTCAAGAATTTTGTCATAGTTTTGATTAGGATTATTAGCTGATCCAACACCAAATTCTCTGAACTAATGACAAAAGAATTGTATGGGAACCAGTAAGGGGATTTACTGATGATATCTTGGGAGTGAATGGCTAAAGACCTTAAGAATCATAACATATATTTGATACTTTTTGAATTTCAAATCCATATCCTTTGTATTCCTCTGACCATGCAGTTCTTTGAAAAATGGAATCCACTCTGTCTATGACACCAATCTGTGTGTACAGAAAACATAATTGCTATTAATAAACATTAATTTTATAAATAAATCACAAGGAAATATCAAGTTGAATCAGATCTCAGCTTTTCAACAAATTAAAATCATTCAATCCTGCAAGTGTCTAATTTGGATAACATGGAACAATGTTATATTCACCTGGAACAGCTTAGGGAAAAGATAGATATCTCCACACAACATATACCTTGCTTGAAATCATTTCCTCAAATTTTCAAAATTATACCCCAGGTTTCCTGTTCTTCAAATCACACATTTGCTTGGATTGAGCAGCAGATGTTAAGATCTTGTCCAAGTAAGTCAAAGTATTGGAAACTTTTCCCTATTTTTCTCTTCACCATCTTGTTCTCCAATAGTGACTCAATCATATTAACATCAACATCAGTATCGTTATTTTTTCACAAGACAATGATTACATTTTTTGAAAAATCAAAAATGATTTTTATGCCTATGACTGTTTTAACTTACCATATAATTGATGGTTTGCTTCGTATCTCCCCGACCCATTTCAGTAAAGAATCGATAGTCAGCAACCAGTGCAAGGCGACATCTTATCCTTGTTGGAGCAGCACGTCTTTTTCTCTTAGAATACGTACCCTGTGCTGATAATACAACAACACATATTCAATTTCAGGAGCTATACCCTTTTCAGGTTAGTCCTTTTTTTTTTCATATTTTCAACTCTTTTTCAAGAAGTACTCAAAGCAATAACCTCCTGTCTGCCACCATGTATTCCCCATGGAAACTGAAACTGCTAACAAAAAATCAGTGCAAAACTCAGATCTAATTAACATTGCTGGTTACAGTTTACAGTGGTCACCCTTCATTGGCTTTTTTCCTGGAAAGCAACCACAACATTTCATCTATTTTTTGTACTCAAAGTTAGCCAAGTTTCACAATAATAATACTCCCTACATGTCTGAACTGTTCAGTCAAGAAATTGCCCCTATGAATTGTTACTGACTTAGCTTGTCACATAAATACAGCACTCACCATGGCTATCATCTTCATCTGCATAAAGCACAGGAGAATGATGTGAATCATGTCCACAAAAACTGAATTTTTTCTTCCTAAAAAATTGTGTTTAAAAAAAAACTTAGTAAATCTAACAAGGAAGTTCAAATTCTCATGGTTTATTAAGCAAACAACATTCTACTCCTTGCTCCTGTAAACATGTTTCCTTCCTGAATGCATTCAATCAGCAAAGAGTAATTGACATAAATGCTTATTATGGGGTTCATTAATTTAAAAAATTTTTCAAACTTTAGAATTGAAAAATTTGCTCAGTGCATACTTTAGGTGAGGAAAAGTGATCATGAATCAGTACACCCAGATAAAACTTTTAATTAGTATGACAAACTTAATTGTTTGATCAACTATGGAAAATAGAATCTGACATAGAACATACATGTATATACAAGTTATGTGATTCATTCCATATTTGTGGACATTTTAACTATTTATAGCATTTTTCAACTTACACATTAGGCTCCTGGCCTTGGGCATTTGTTATATTGGATTTCACATCAGAATGTCTGTAAGATATCATCTGATCCTGGCTAGAGCCAGCAATATGTCGCCATGCTGGCTACAAAACAAAACAAAAACAACAATATACTACTAGTCTATCGAATAAAATTCACAATCTGTGCTTTTCACAAACTGGCCTCATCAAAGAGATTAAAACATCCTAAGTAATAACCCCTAGTGGTAAGCAGTTCCAAGAGAAGACTCCACTCAATTATGAGTTGATATCAAATTAGCTGGATTTATCTGGTATAAACTGCAACACATCCTGGCTTGTCAAACTCTATGGGTAACGAGTCATTCTGAAATCTTATTAGCTCCCTGAAGAATATCAATGGCCTAGACAAACATTTTTTAAAAGTAACATCTTGCAAGCTTAGAACCAAAATGTTATCTTCACATGTTTTTTTTAATTCATATGTTATTAACTGTCAGTATCTTATCTGAGACAGCTGCATTGTGTTTTTTTTCAGCGCTCAGTCTGAGTATGAAATAGATCAGAGACTATTAGAATACTACAAGATGATCGTGTAAGAGATCTATGTGAACCCTTTGTTTGGGTTGAGTATACAGAATTGCTTTAATTCTGCAGACTTAAAAACTCCTTGTTCCTGATTATATATTATTAAAAACATTGAGAGGCCCCATTTGAATTTGCCACAATGTAAATTAAAATATTATTACACAAAATAAGAACTTCTAAAACAAAAATGAACAGAGGGGTTTATCAGCAAATGATACCAGCACACTTGGAGAGAAAGAATGCCAAGAGTTCCCAATAGGAGTCACACCTGCAATCATCCTGATGGGAGCATTAGAGTTTTTTTTCCTCCAAGTATACTTGTGTCAGTTACAGATCAACATCACTGTTCACTTAAAATCACCAGGCTTAAAATTAACCATCTTCATTTATATCAAAAGCAATAAAGTTCGCTGACATGAAAATCACAGTTTGTACCTCAACAATGTAAATGTCATCCTTTGTCGCAATAGAAGCTGTAATGATTCCATGGTCAACATGAACTCTTGCCCTTGATGTTGAGTCACCTGTATCAAAGAGTTGCATGAAGAGTATTCTATAAAAACTAATTATCTTGAGCATCTAAACAATTGGTTGCAAAATTGAAAAAAAAAGGGGGGGGTCAATAGATTCATAACACAGCTTTAAATTTTGGAATACCAAACTATAGGGAAAAAACTGTGTAATTAGGAAATAAATTTAGTGACAGCAACAGTCTTCTGTGACGAATTACAGCCATTTCTCCCCATGGTCATTTCACCCCCAGTCGCTTCGCTCCAACCAAAAGTCAGTTCGCTCCATAATCGAAGTCACCTCGCTCCATACAAAAGTTACTTCCCTTCAGACAAAAGTTACTTCTCTTCATACAAAAGTTACTTCCCTTTATACAAAAGTTACTTCACTCCATGTAAGAAATTAGTGAAATGTTGTCATGAACTTTTTGTTTTGATGTTAGAGTTGGACTGATTTTGAACTTATGTCAGTTCAGATTTATTAACTAATGCAGTCAGCAAAGTGACTGGGGGCGAAATGATCATGGGATGAAGTGATTGGATACCTCTGTGAACTACTACTGTACAGACCCACTGCAACATGGAATCTTTTTGTTTTACAAAATAAAGAAGAAAAATTTTGTTGATGGTGATGTCATCTTCACATCTGTCTCCCACTAGATCATAGGCAATAACCAATCACGATGCACTTATAAAATATACAAAAGCCTTCATTTGGCTTGCAAATATGTACAGATATTTGTCTACAGACATTATCTGTTTCCAAAAGTGATCAGTTTTTCCAAGGGAACACCATGAACTACTGTATGAGAGATTGATGAAAGAGTACATTACTAATCATAACCTTTAGGAAATGAAGTTTTGATGTACAAGGAACATATAAGATATCCCAGTTTAAGTTTAAGGATCTGGATAATAAAATGGATGCAATCTACATGAATGTATCACAGCTAAATTTTAATCTCATATCTGAAACAATATTTTTTATGTACCTTGGTTGATCCTTACTCTCCTTATCATACCCTGACTCTAATCAATTATTTTCTGGGCTAACACAAAGGAAATTTGGATTCAGCCAAGGAAGAAATTTCCCTTCACTGAGATAAAAATGTCACTGTATCATAAAAAGTATATGTCTACATTTCAACACCATGAAGTTCCTCATAAAAGTAAAATACATTTACAACTAAAAATCTTACCCTCATCATAACCCTTGTAGAAGCCTTCTAAATCTACAGTAACTTCTTTCTCAGGGTAATTTTCTGCCACTGAATAAGCATGAAAGTCTTCAGCAAAGAGCTCACTGTGAGGAGTCAAATGAAGTCTAAAATGCCTGAAAGATACACAGAATAGAAAATAAGATGCAAGTAAAATTGTCCATCATAATCCTTATTGAGCCATCATGGTGTCAATTTTTATCTACTGTACAGTTCATCAAAATAATAGTTTTGTTCTTACTAAGGAGAAAACATCAAGTTTCCTGGAGTCCATAGTTGGCAACTGTACCACGAACAGAAATTATTATCAACTATGAACATCATTTTGAAGAATGAAAAATCTTTCTGGAGGGCCAAAACTTGACTAAAACTGGGCTTTGATTGTTTGCATTTCCTTTTATTTATTCAAATAAACAAATTTCCCTAGACAACCTTTTCAAAGGTGTAAATTTTCATCAACAATTTGTGATAAACCAGCACTCAAACTAAACCTGTGTGCCTGCTACAAGTTGTAAAAGACTTAGTTAATGCTTTTAATTGTACATACATGTACATAGTTATCAGGCTACGAAAGTACTTGGAAGTTTGGAGAGCTCACAAGAAGCTACAAAAAGTTGTTCTCCAATACACTGCAAGCAACTCTTCAAATTTGCAGAGTTCAAGCCTTTCCCCACCTAACATCAGAAGGTATATTCTCCATTCTGTTCTCGATACATATCCTAAGGTTCTGACAAGGAGAATTTGGATAACAATTAAGAGCTTCTTTTATTGCTGATGATTTTCTTTATTCTCGCGACCCTAATGTGTGATTCAGGAATGATATCATAGGAAGAAACAAGATGCTGGTCACTGTTAGGGTTTTAAGGGTTAAAAGACAAATTTACACCAAGCCTACTTGTAAGTGCCACACTGTTTGGGAGAAGGGGTTTTAAAAAGACTCTGTAAATGAGTATTATCATCCTCAACAAACCCAGTCCTATTACCACTCACTGTATATGTAGGTTAACATAGTACAGGCCATGCTTTATTTTTTCCAAGGTGTCACTTAATGATTGTGATCCTCAGAATACGTAAGTAAGTAAGTAACTTTTTTTCAGCTTGGGTTGATTCAGCTGATTAGGCGTCTAACAGAACATGCTAATATTCCTAGAAAAGTTTAAGAAAATTACAAAAAAACAATGCTATGAAAAAAATATGTACCTGTTTAATGTTGTAAAAGAAAGTGTCTTTTCTTTGTTGTTGACATCTCTCTTGTGAATGTCATGAAAAATGTCACCCGTATGTAAAGTTTCATAATGTCTTACCACATCTCTAATCTCACCTGAAAATGAAAAAGCACCATCATAAATACTCATGCATGTTTTATGGCTGCATTTATAACAAATTGACTCAAACTGAATTTGATGTAATTATGCAACATTTTTCAATAGAGATATTATAAATGTGCAAGGTACATATAAGAATCTTAGTCATTTGTTCCAGAAAAGCCTCATTAGAAGCTATCACAAGCACATTTCAGCTTGCAGTGGTTTTAGCCCATATCAAGGCTCCACATAGCTACAGGTTGGTTTGATTTCAAACCACCACCTAAATTTTTTTTCTGCATTGTTTCTTTTTTATATCCAAAATGGACGTCACTTTATCCAATTGATCAGTCATTCTCTCATTCTCTCAAACAAAGGTGTATAGTCTACAACCAATATTTTCAATCCTTTCTATTGCTAAAACAACTTCCTCTTCATGAATTCATAACTTATATCAGCTTATGAGAAAGTATGTAGTGCTTGTGACCAATGTATTTCAATGAAATTTTTTGTGTTATTTCGTATATTTCATCCGTACAGACATTGCTAAAAACTCTAGGCCCATGGTTTATCAGCTTATCAACGATAACATCTCGATAGCGCAGTGAGAACATGCGTTAGTGACATCATTACTTGATGTGCTCAATATCTGGTCTTGTCGAGTGCTAATAATGGGATGGAATGAACATAAACAATCAGAGTTCTTTTAAGCAGCAATGGCCAAAAACCGTTGAAACCAGTAGATCCTATCCTCTTTTAGAGACATTTATTATTCCTTTGATTGCTTTTTCTCATCATGTAATCCTAAAACGTATCAAGAAATCCTGAACATCGAGGAAATCAACTGTCACTGCCGGCCTCAGCCAATATCGTTCAAAAGACTGAAACACAAAGCAGTGAAGTTTTTCCTTTGCTCTTCTGTAAGAGGTTCATAACCAAAGTGATGTGTTAAATGTTACCCAGAGGCGAAAACAAATAAACTCTTGTTTGATTTAACACTCGGCCTCACACCCATACCTGAACAGTCATGTCAGTATGGTGTTTGCAGCATACTACCATAATCTACTAACTTCTGTTAACAATGTCAACCGTCAACTTACCCGCGTTAACCTCAAAGATACTGTTGAGGGCTAAACTGAAAAGTAAGGCCAAGTGATAACACAACACTCCCATTGTAAAGATAAAGAACAAAAAATCAAAATGTTTCCTCAGTTTCAGTTCACATCGCCATTCGTCGATCGCTTTAAATACGTCGTGTATGGCTGCACAAACTATGCCGACCGCGCAGACAATGGATTAAAAAAAAAACATCTCTTACAAGCGTTAGTTTGTTTGTTTTTTGTTAATTCAAAGAATTGGTTGAGAATTATCAAATCTCAAATCAATGAAACCTTTAACTCCTAAAAGTGACCAATAATATCCTCATAATATCAAAACAATTTTAAGCAGACAAGTGATGAGAATAAAGAAAAATTTCAATAAGATTATTAGCTGATGCAATACGAAATTCTCTAAAGTAACATCATAAGAATTGTATAACAGACAGTAAGAAGAATTACCTCTGAGATATTGGGAATGATAGGGTAAATACATTATTTCCTACCCAGTTTTTGCTCGCCCCAGGCTTGTCTCCGCTCTCTCGAAACGGATCCGGAGGCTGAGAGACGGTCTGTAGGAGAAGAGAAGAGAAAGCTTCCTCCCCTAAAGAATTACTGTAGGACAATTAGCATGAAAGCAAATAAACTAATTTACTTCCTTGATACTGCTCCAGTTTTCCTGGGAGCGAGTTCATTCGTTTTCCTCGCTCGGCTCATATGCTTACCGGTTGTCCATTAATTCATATCTGACGGTGAAGAATATTTTCATGTTCATGTTGGATAGTTTCTCAAAGTTTCCACGCCAAGTGAATTGTCAGTGAAAAGGCGCTCGGTGCTTACATTAGAGTAACGCTCCACAAATAATAGATTGTCCTGCGCTTGGGCTGATAGAAATCCTACGTAAATCGGCCAACGACAAGCGGAAAAAATTAATAGGTAATTGATAATACTTAATGGACCTTTTCCACTAGCGTTTTGGCGCTTACGTTTGGCCGTTACGTTCAGCGGGCCTGGGAAAGAGAATGACTATGGAACCCACAGTCGAACAGAAATAGACAACCACATTTTATTGGCTATCTGATATGACTGACGTATGAAGTGTGTTGGAAAAAACTCAAAGGACGGAAAGTGATGGTTAAAATTATTTTCGAAACAGGGCACTAAAGGCTACAGGTTGTGGTAAGTACTGTCTGTGAAAACACCTGATTCACATCCATCATGACTGATTTGCCTTAACATAGACCAAGGAAATCGTTTTGGCTTGGAGCATCGGCTTTTAAAACTGCTTCAAGCCTCATTTTGTATGATGTGATTAATGACTCGGTGGAAGAGAATTCTGATATGTGCGAAAAAAAAATTAAAAGAAATTCATAAGCGGCAAAGTCGGTTTAACGCTTTTAACTTCACCCAGATCTGCCAAAAGTTGACTAAATTCAACAAATTAAGTGGTATTTTAACCGACACTGGACATAATGATTTCTTTCAAACTGCCTTCTTTGAAGATTAAATTCCGACATCCTCTGAGAAAGCCGGAAGGCTATCTACCAACGCACCAATCTCGCGCAGAATTCCAACCGTTATGAGAAAAATATGAATTCCAAATGTCCATTACAAAAGCTTAAATGAGATTCGTTTTGTTCCTTCCACCGAAGGAAAGATAAGGAGTGACGGATATTTGTAATCCTACATTTGAAGTGCCATCCTGATGCACGTAAATGTATTTCGGTTTCGTACGTCTAACTTTTTTTACCGATGATGGATGTGAGCATGCAAAAATGAAACAATTCACTTTGTTTGCAGGTAACAGCCGGTCTCAGTATATACTTTGTTTAGCGAGAACCGTTGGATTTTTAACCAGAAATCACTATCGAGACTTGATACAGTGCTCAATTGGAGCTTCTGTCTTGAAACGGTGAGTTATTGTGCTCGATGACTATCTCTTCATGAGCTGTTCATTTTCCAGTAAGTGCGATTTGCGTCATCAAAGACAAAGTTAGTAAATAAGAGGAACGGCTAGATTGATCAGTGTTGTACCCTTAACAGACAACATTGCTATCTTAGTTTATCTCTTAAGGGTGTTTATCCAAATAAGACGGAGATATTGTAACAATCACGTGATATTCCTGAACATTCCACTTTTCAAGTCAGGTAGCGGACAGAGGACCTTTTATTATAGAATAGTCGATATACACAACTCGCTGTATAGTTCTCTTAAAACGAAACTTCCTCCAAAGAACGATTGATTTTTTCCTTCTGATGTCATGTACCCCTTATTAATCGGAATTTTCCGGAAATTTCACTTTCCAATAGCAATAAATAATTGCGGAGGGTATATTTTTTTTCATGGGGGAGGGGGCGGGAGGAGTTTTATAGTAGTATCTTACAAGGATTTAGGAGCAAACCTTGATGTTTCATTACCGTTACTGCTCACAAGCAACAGGAGATCCTTTTGGTTACCCTCCTGAGTAGTCTGAGTAGGTGAAGCTGTTGTTACTAATTTTTGATAACTTGAAGGAAAAATGAGAACTGTGATCAAATATTTTTAACAAAAACAATGAAAAGGGGAAGATAAAAATTGCAATTTCAAATTTAAAACTGAAGGGATTTTCTACAAACAATCCTTGTACAAGTTTTTTCTATTTCTCCTTTTTTTCCAAACTAGGAAGAAACAGGGTCAAGATGGACAGCAAAGAAGAAGCTATATTAGCTATCTTCATAGGTATACTGATCGCTACGTTCCTTTACAACACTGGTTGCGTGTTGCAAGCCATCGAGGTATACGAGGAATGTTTGATTATATTACACAGTCAGGTGTTGTCTAGTTTAGTTGATAGTTTATTGGCAAACACTATGTTCCTTGCCATCTACTTGGCATTGGCCTGTGCTTACGGTGATATAAAGGACTACACAAGTACAGAAAAATACTTAAGGAAACTTCTGCCATACCTAGACTCCAATGACACCGCAAAAAAAGGATGGCTACATCTTCAAACTGGCAGATATACTTCGAATACAAAATAGGTTAATGGAGGCCTGGAAATTTTACGAATCAGCGATCAACCTCATGAAAACGATTCGAAACACACAAGGCCAGGCACGGTGTTACAACAACCTCGGAACAATGTTCCAATCTCTTCGTCAATATGACAAGGCCCGAGAATATCAGGAGAAAGCACTTGCTATCAGTATGGAAATTGGCGACAGGGATGGAGAAGCAACAAGCTACGGAAACCTAGGAACTTTGTTCCAATCACTTTGTCATTATGACACGGCCCGAGAATATCAAGAGAAAGCACTCGCTATCAAAATAGAAATTGGCGACAGGAATGGAGAAGCAACAAGCTACGGAAACCTAGGAACTTTGTTCCAATCACTTTGTCATTATGACAAGGCCCGAGAATATCAAGAGAAAGCACTCGCTATTAAAAAAGAAATTGGCGACAGGGATGGAGAAGCAAAAAGCTACGGAAACCTAGGAACTTTGTTCCAATCACTTTGTCATTATGATACGGCCCGAGAATATCAAGAAAAAGCACTCGCTATTAAAATAGAAATTGGCGACAGGAATGGAGAAGCAACAAGCTACGGAAACCTAGGAACTTTGTTCCAATTACTTGGTCATTATGACAAGGCCCGAGAATATCAGGAGAAAGCACTCGCTATCAAAATAGAAATTGGCGACAGGGATGGAGAAGCAACAGGCTACGGAAACCTAGGAACTTTGTTCCAATCACTTGCTCAGTATGACAAGGCCCGAGAATATCAAGAGAAAGCACTCGCTATCAAAATAGAAATTGGCGACAGGGATGGAGAAGCAACAAGCTACGGAAACCTAGGAACTTTGTTCCAATCACTTTGTCATTATGACAAGGCCCGAGAATATCAAGAGAAAGCACTCGCTATCAGAATAGAAATTGGCGACAGGGATGGAGAAGCAAAAAGCTACGGAAACCT